TCCCCAGAGCTAGAGCTCTGAACTTGGGACTTAAACTGGAAAAGAATAATATCTGTTTTATAAAGCCATCCCCTGTGGTATCTCTGTTACAGCAACTGTTGTTAAGTGTTGTTGCACTGACTCTAACTCATGTTGTTGTTTGTGGTTACGTGCTGCCAAGTCACCTGCAACTCATAGCGACGCTATGCACAATAGCTCTGAAGCCTGTCCTATCTTGAGTCAATCTCACTGTCTCCAACACACCTGACCCTACTACCCCAGTCACTGTGTGAATCCATCTCATCCAGGGTCTTCTCCTGCACTGCCCCCCCAACCTTCCAGGCATGATGTCCTTCTCCAAGGACTGGTCCCTCCTGGCTACATGCCCAAAGTATGTGAGATGAAGCTTCAAAATCTCTGCCTCCATAGAGTAGAAAGTTGGTTTCACACTCTCCAAAACAGACCTGTTTGCTCTCTTGGCAATCCATGGTATGTTCTATACACTTCTCCAGCACCACAATTCAAGAGCATCAATTCTTCTGCCTTCCTGGGTCATTGTCCAGCTCTCTGATGCACAGCAAGCAATTGCAAAGACCATGGCCTGCATAAGGAGCACCTTGGTCTCTAGACTGACATCTTTGCACTTTAGCATTCTGGAAAGGTCCCTGACCGCAGACTTTACTAATCCAATTTGTCTTTTGATTTCCTGACTGCTGGTTCCAAGAGTTTTGATTGTGGGCCTGAGCAAGCTAAAACTGTTGACAACTTCAATCTATTAATTACCCATATATCTTGATGCTACCAATAGGTCATAGTAACTCTACAAACAGATCAAAGCCTGTGTGATTCTGTTTTGGGGTTTTTTTTCATAAGGGAAAAACATTTAATTAACCAACCTCCATGTAATTAACACACCCTCAAGCCACCAGGACACAGCCCCCGCTCCCCAACACCCTTAACCTTCTCCTCAGCTCTTCTGCTGAAGAATTTGGCCTTTACAATGACTGGTTGCTTTGGGAACTTCCCCTTCCCCAAACCTTTGTAGTAACCCGATCAAACCACATCAATGATGGGAGCAGCTCCAACCTTGTTCTTTGCAGCATTTACCCTTGTCTCCTCATTGACCAAAGTCCATCATTTGTCAAGGTTGACAGTTGGGCAGAAGCTCTGTTTCTTCAGGTGGTAATGTCTCATACCAACTTTTCCAAAATAACCAGGATGGTATTTGTCAAAGTTGATCCTGTGGTGATGCAAGCCACTGCTTTACCTCGGCCTCCAGGGATCTTCCAGTGCTTCCCAATGCGCTGTGACCGTGGCTCACGTGGCCCCTAAGTTTACAGGTCTTCCTCAGTCTTAATGTCATTTCAGTCACCTACACAAAAGAGTGCGATTCAGTTCTTGAACACACAATCTCTGGTGTGCTCAAGCCCATTGCTGCAGTCACTGTGTCAATCCAGCTCATTAAGGATCTTCCTTTCTTTCACAGACCCTAGTGCAATGCTGCTAAAAACCAAATAAGCCAAATCTACTGCCATCACGTTGATTCCAACTTATGGTGACCCTCTACCAGCTTTCAAAGACTGTAAATCTTTACGGAAACATAATCCTTCATCTTTCTCTCATGGAGTGACTGATGGACTCAAACCAACTCATTAGTTACCAACCCAAGAGTTGCAACTAAGACACACCCCAAATTTCAACAGGTAAGCCTGCCCTGGAAGACCCTTTCTTTATGTCTTCCCCAGGACACAAGCCCAAGCCTGATGGTGACCTGTGGCCCAGAGATCCAAGGCTAAGGTATTGACAAAGGGCTCACACCCACTCATCCATTCAACCAGGACCAAAGACCTTCTGAGGTCCCCAAGGGTCTCAGAAGGTTAATGCTGGGGACTAGAATTAAGAGCAGAAGGCAGGACTCCCAGGTGGTGGAGTTTCCCAAATCCTCTCTTTTCTTGCAAAACACATATCTGTTCTTCCTCAAACTGGCCAAAACCATGATGCTCAATTTCTAATGCTCAGCAGTTATTTCACAAGAGGAAGAAACATTTGCTTAAAAACAAATTCAATTAATGCATACCCATGTTTATTGCAGCTTCAGTAACAGAGTTGGAAACAACCCAAGTGCCCATCAACAAACAAATGGATTGAGAAACTCTGGTATATTCACACAATGGAATACTATGCTGCATTGAAAAACAAGGAACTCATGAAATATAGAAAATGGGTGACCCTGGAGGACATTAAGCTGAGTAAAAGATCTCAGTCACAAAAGGACAAATATTGCATAGGGCCACTGTTGTAAAACGGGACTGACATCAGGGTTAAGGGAAGACTGAGAAAGAGAGAATAAATAATGTATACTGATTGAAACAGATGAGGAAGAGAACTGTTTAAAAGAGATATATGACTAGGTATTATTGTCATGACAGGAGTCCAGAACTAAGTCTGCAAGGTGGAGTCGACTTGGGGAGAGGGACTGTATAACAATGAAAGAATTTTTCTTTTACTTTTCAAAGAGAAAAGTAAATTGGGGGGGAGCCGGTAGGGAGGGAGAACAGTGCAACAATGAATGAATGGAAACCCTAAGTCTCTGTAAACTTGCATTAAGATTAATTTTTTAAAAATTCAATTAAATTCCCAAGTATCTGGATAAATTATGTCTCCAGCGTAAAAGAAAACGTGTTAAGTTTTATACACATGACAAAGTAAACGGCTTTAATTTCTTCAAGGTGAGAGAGAGGGGACACTACCAGACCAGCTTTGCTGTCCTCCCTCCTTCCACCTTGTTGAGGTCAGCTGATCACTCCTTCCCCACGGAATAGGTCAATGAAGCCCTGGGCAGAGGTTCTGAGATCTAGAACCTTCCCATAAGTGGACTACTTCCCATAGTAGTCAGACTGGGGCTTGCTGAAACCTTCCTGCATCCCTAACTTCTTCACAGACCAACATTCTGCTTGCACCCCCAAGCCCACCCCAGTACCATTACGCATGTCCATCCAAGGACCCCCTCATGCCATCTATGGCACAGAAGTACCCCATCCAGCTCACTGGGCCTGTCCATTCCTGGCCCCTATCAAGGAGACTCCTCCGCTCTGACAGTCTTCTGTATAAACCTGGGATGACAGGTTAAAGGTGCATTAACATCCTCCATAATGCCAGTGAGACAGGCGGAGGGGAGGCTGGAAAGGACACACAATAGTAATGACAGACTAGCCGCGGCCATCCTTCCACGCTGGGTCACTCTGGACTATCCTGTCCTTCCTTGCCCTTATTTGTTACCAAACCACCTTGGCTCCTTCCTCTGGCTTGGATTTGTCCCCTGATCCTTTCTTCATTGCCACCAACCAATGAACAACAGTCACTTCCACTTGACCCCATCAGCGCTCTTTCCGCTAATAAGCATCCGTCAGGCAAAGGGGCAGGCCCCGCGCTGGAGACACTGCAGGGCGCACGACTCCTGCTTGTCTAGACCTCTTCATATCCACACACTCCTATCAGCTGAAGGCTGCTCCACGTGTCTGGCTGCATCGCCCCCCGGCCAGGCAGCGTCTACACTGTCACCCTGCAGAACCACGAATCTCAATAATTTAGTACTACAAATCTTACTTACTGTGCATTGATTGGGCCCTATCATCTGGCTCCGTGCAGAGGACCCTACCTGTACCCTGGCCTCCTGCACTCTTCCGACCCTTAGCCGCCCCCCTCCCACCCCCAATACCCGGTTTTCCTTACTCACATATCCCTACACTGCAATTTCCAGCCGCCCTAAGATCCCAGGAAGAGCTCGCCTAGCACGCACGCGCGCGAAGAGGGCGTGGTCATCCGCTTTAACCCTTCGCGTGCCAGTTGCGAGGTGGAGCGCGCAGTCTGGGCTTCAATTCACCTAGCAGCTTACCTAGCGGCTCGAAGGATCGCAGCCGGACCAGAACACCCAAGAGACCGGCAAGGGGGGGGGGGGTGGAGTGGAGGGAAAACAAGGTGGGCGTACCCACCTCCCTTCCTATAAATGGTTGTGACCCTTTAATACGCCCTCCGCCCACGCCCATTGGCTGTGACGGTTTTAGTCATCGCCGTGCGCCGGATGTTGGCTTATTCCCGCTCATTAGTGCTGACGGTAAAGTTGCGCCAGCCTTGGCGGCTGAGGAGAACTGGAGGTGGCGGTGTCGGCGGGAAGATGTAAGTTGGAGGAATCCGATCCCATCCGCGCTTCGCGAGCCATTCACCTGTCTTGGCGGGAGGTATCCTGGAGCCAGGCTGCTTCTCAGCCCCCGATGGTGGTCACGGCCTGGTGGAACGAGCTGTAAGCAAAGTATGGGCCAGGGAGGGCGAAGTGGGAGGTGCCGAGGCCGCAGACCGGAAGTGGTCGGGATCAGCACAGACGGAAGGGCCTCGGGAGTCGAGTTCCTGTGCGGCTTACTCCCAGGCCTGGGGGCTTGTGAGTGAGCGCGAGGTGGAGGGCACCGATGCCGGCGGCCCGGGCTGGAGCAGTGAGATCGGAGCAGCGTCGTGGGCCGTCCTAGAAGGCCGGGCGACCCTCCGTCTTGGGCTTTGGTTCACCCTTTATTCGCGCTCATTGACCGATCTCCCTGTGCCGGCCCGGCCCCTTTGCCATGCCACGGAGCTCCGTTTGACGGGCTTCACTCCGAGGAGAGGCTCCTGGAAGGTCAGCAGTGGGGAGACGTGGAGCGGGCACCCCCTTCCTCTGTCAACCGTGGTTCAAATCTAAGGTGTCTGCTAAATGTGATTTCTCCTATCGAAAGGCACTCTCTTCCTGAGCCTCTAAAAACCTGCTAAATGAGTTCTAACACCATAGAGACAAGAGCCTAGACAGTGTTCCAGGTCTCAGTTAATTCCACTGGTGCTCTTACAAGACTGTGACATGAGAACAGTGATTGTTACTGTATTGCCAATGAGGAGGTGTGGAGGCTCAGAAAGGATACATGACTTGCTTGAAGTCCAGGCTGGTTGTTTGTGATGCTCATTCCTTGTCCCTAGCACTAACCTGCCTGCTGGATGTCTATGGTACCTTAACTGTTATTCATAGTTATGCATCTGGGGCCTGGGCATGAAGCTCTGCCATCTTCTCTCCTTGGACCCCAGGGCCCTTCTGGCAGCGTTTTGCAGCTTCCCTGGGCACTCCCAGTCGTGTGAACAAAGAGTCCAGGTTTTCTACTGAGTCCGGTTATAGGGGATTGAGAAAAGGGGCCTCGTGCTCCAGCAGATGATATAGAATCTTCCTGGACTAGGAGGGGCAGCCAACCCCAGGAAATGCTACACAGCCTAATCAGTAATTTGACTTTATTATATTTTTTAGTTAATTGGTTGATTGTCCACTGTAGTCTACCAATACTCCACCAGTCCCTCTAACATTCAGTATCCAGTCCAATGTCAAAAATTTCTTAAAATGAACAGAAAATCTGCAATTCATTGCACGTGTAACCATCCTGTGTTGTCATTCCTCCTCCTTTCTCGAAGAATACGGCTGTGTACACTCTATTGTCTACCTTGCCATCCATCTAACTTGTTCTTGCATTGCAGACTTCACACCTCTCCCTAACTTAATTGCATCTATAACCTAACATCAATAGTTATAGTAACTTCTTTTTAAAGTACTACGTTTTGTGTATATACGAGATACTAAATGTGCTTGTACCTGTTACTGGTTTGGGAAATTATTTTTGCATTCAGTCATACCCTGTCCAGTAGCTTAAGAAACCACAGTTCAAAACCACCCTGTGTGGAGACCAACCTGCAGATTTTGTCTGTCTTGCATGCAGATGTGCTGTGGTGGTTTAACGAATCCAAGGGGACTCATTATTGAACTTCTGGGTACACGCTCTAAAGCAACAGAACCACCTCCTCTTACGTTTTCTTAAGAAAACACAAGTTTCAGTTGCAGTTCCTCCTGTGACTCCTATAGGGGTGGAGATAACTCACGAGGAGACATGGTGATTGTCCACCGTGGGTTCCTGGATGTTTGGACACCACTGCTTACTTTCTTGCCACCTTCTTGTGTGCTTGCTTAGCCTTTTTATTTTTTCTTTTGTTAAATAGGTTTGTTGTCTTGCCAGTCCATTTACGCTAAACCTTTTATCTTGTTATCAGGCTTCTCTTTGGCGTAAATTGCAATCGATTAGGGATCGTTTCTCAGACTCAAGTTAGAAGTGAGAGTTCAGATCAGTGAGGCCACCATTCCTGCTTTGAACACCCCAGAAGGAAGGGGAGAATGGATTTGTCAGGAGTGAAAAAGAAGAGCTTGCTGGGAGTCAAAGAGAATAATAAAAGGTCCAGCACTAGGTAATCCTCCTGCCAGTTTGGTTTTGAGGTTTTTTGTTTTGGTTTGTGGGTTTTGGTTTTTGTTTTTGGGGGGTTTTTTTGGCTTTAGGGGTGCGCTAAGAACCCTGAGGAAGGGGACATTTGGAAATGTACATGTCCTGAGCCATAGATCACTTTGCCCTGGGGGTGACCTGGGATCTCTCTAGCCCCTCCAGAACCTTTGTCTTGGGTTGTGCTGTTGCTCCAGGGTCTGGTCACAGGGACACACCTCATTATTCATCACCATGCAGGGCTCCTTCTCCAACCAAGCGCAAAGACCGCTCTGACGAGAAGTCCAAGGACCGCTCTAAAGACAAGGGGGCCACCAAGGAGTCCGGTGAGAAGGACCGTGGCCGGGACAAGACCCGGAAGAGACGGAGTGCATCCAGTGGCAGCAGCAGCACCAGGTGGGGTTAGCAAGCTGAGTGGGGCTTTACTATGGGCGAGTGTAAGGGATGGCATGGTGACTGCTTTGTGGCATCATCAGGGGAGTGAGACGTGGTCATGATTTTACTCTCAGTGTGCTTGATTCTGAATCTCATTGGTGTACACCAGCCTAGGGCCTCTGGCCTGGGTTCACCAGTAGTCTTTTTTCTTTCCTTTACCCCCTCAATGCCAGCAAAGTTCTCAGCCCACAATGGGAAAAGAGGACTTGAAAATCTGCATAGCTGGATCTTCCTCTTTGGGTATGGGGCAGGCACAGAGGTCAGTCGGTGCCATGGAGGGGTGGGGCTCCCTCAGTGGCTGTTTTGACACCCCTTTCTCCCCAAGGTCTCGTTCCAGCTCTACCTCTAGCTCAGGCTCCACCTCTAGCACCGGCTCTAGCAGTGGCTCCAGCTCATCCTCAGCATCCAGCCGCTCTGGGAGCTCCAGCACGTCCCGCAGCTCCAGCTCCAGCAGCTCCTCCGGCTCGCCAAGCCCGTCCCGGCGCAGACATGACAACAGGCGGCGCTCCCGCTCCAAGTAAAAGCACACTGGGTCTCACCTTGGCCTCTGGGAGGTGCCAGGGCTGGTCTTCCTCACTAAAAGGAGGCCCAGACAGCTCCATGAGGCAGAAACTAATTGCTTCTTCCCCTGATCAGATCCAAACCACCCAAAAGAGATGAAAAGGAACGGAAGAGGCGGAGTCCTTCCCCAAAGCCTACCAAAGTGCATATTGGCAGACTAACCCGGAATGTGACCAAGGTGAGGAATCATTTGTCCATCTGGTCTACAGCACTACAGAGACTGAGAATGTCACCTTCCAGAGACTAGCATCTACTCGGCCTACTGGTTAAATGGGTTATAAAGCAAGAAAACCAAATTCATTGCTGTGGAGTTCGTTCCAGCTTAGCACAACTCTCCATTAGGTGTCCAAGGCTGAGAAGCTTTATGGAGAAAACTACCCTCCAGCGCATTTGGTAGATTGACACCACCAGCCATCCGGTCAACAGACCAGCATGTGGTGCATGTGTCTAAACGACATGTCCTAAACCCTCATGTGGCCCTTGTTGTCCTGCAGGATCACATCATGGAGATCTTCTCTACCTATGGGAAAATTAAGATGATTGACATGCCTGTGGAGAGGATGCACCCCCACCTGTCTAAAGGCTATGCCTATGTGGAATTTGAGAATCCGGATGAGGCCGAGAAGGCACTAAAACACATGGATGGAGGTGAGTAACCTCAGGCCTCCCTAGCCCAGTCACGTAAGGCACATAACACTCCGTTTCCTGTCTTGGGTGCATGTCAGCACCTGCTGGGATGCTTTTAGGAGTCAGAATCTTAGTGGGTGGATATTTACCCAAAGCACAGCGCATAGACCAGGACTCTTGGGAGGAGAATTCCCCAGACAAGAATCCATTAGCATTTTAAAGAATTTTCAATCTGTTCAGAACTGATGGTTCCAGTGACAGTTTCAGAATGTTTTCTCGACTATAATAGAGGGGAAAGGTTGCCTTTAAAAATATTTGCTTTAATCACTTCAGAACACCTACTTTCTTTGTAAACCTCTTGGTGTTTTTAGGATGATTTTGCTCAGTGTCTGGTTTACTGACGTCTTACCACTTCCTCAGAAAAGAGCCCTGGTGGACTAGAGCCTACCAGTAGTCATAGTTAGACTGCTGACCATGACTTAGGTGGTTTAAGGCCAGGTGGCAAATAGTGGTAGTCTCCCTTTGAGAATTCTCTGGAAGCCTGAAGGCTGTGAGTTGAAATAGACATGAGTTTAAGTTTATGCTCTCCTTTCACTGTTGCTCATACTTGGAGTATTTATGATGGGTGGAATAGATTTCACAGTGTTTGAAAACTTGTGAATGGTTTTGGATAGACAGTTGTCCTTTTGTCTCTGCTGTGTACATTGCTGCTGTCCTGTGAGCCTACAGGAATAAAGTGTTGGTATAATCATCATCTCTGAGCCCCAGCACATAGAAGTATTGGGAAATTTTCTTTTGACATGTTGCCAATTTCCTCTCATGTGCCAACATCTACTCTGCCAGCAGGCGCTCTGGGAGTCTGGCACAGAGTGTGATCTGTCACTGTGTGCCAGATATGTGGCTTGGGACTACTGTCTGCAGCCCAGAGACTTCTGCTCATGTTGTAATTGAGTCTGGGCCCTTGGTAAAGTGACAAGGGCTATTCCCAAGAAATGGCCTTGCAGTCTCTGAGTCTGGTTATTTGTGGCAGTAAGCTAGAGCCACCATAGAGGAAGTGGCCTTCACTGCATACTTGGATGTTCAAAGCTCAGATCCAGCTGCTGGCTGCCCTGGATGGTATTCTTCAAGTTGGGGTCCACCCTTGCCAGCACTTCTTCCTGTCTGTCTGCACCATCTTGAAGTTGGGTTGTTTGATGTTTTACTACAGGACAGATTGATGGCCAGGAGATCACTGCCACAGCTGTGCTGGCACCCTGGCCCAGGCCGCCCCCCCGACGATTCAGCCCACCCAGGAGGATGCTTCCACCTCCCCCCATGTGGCGACGGTCACCCCCAAGGATGAGGAGACGGTAAGTCAGTCCTTGGGACTTACGGAGCACTATGCAGGTTGAACTGTCTGCTCATACACCCCCACTTGGGTCACCAGAAGTGGAGAAGGCAAGGTCACTATGTCCCTGTGAAGCTCATCACACTCTTCCCAGGTAGATAAGGTAGGACGGAAGCAGTGACCTCGGTGGGTGGTGAAGGTGAGGTTCTGGGGTACTTGGATGTGGCTTTCCAGACGACCCGATCCCATGCTACCAGTCAAGACAGATGGAGACCGGGTTGGAGTGAAACTAGCCCCTTCCGTGGTGGTCACCTACAGAAAGAGAACCCCGAGTCTTAGCACCACGTCCCCACTGTGAAAGAAGCTAGTGTGAGCTCTGGAGTGCAGGACGACCTATGTCTGATGCTGTCTTCTCTGCCCACAGGTCTCGCTCTCCTCGACGTAGGTCCCCTGTACGCCGGCGCTCCCGGTCCCCTGGCCGCCGCCGCCACCGGAGCCGCTCCAGCTCCAACTCCTCCCGATAAAGCCGGGCTACGGAAGCCCCTCGCCCCCATAACTTAATGTCCCATCCGAGCATGTTCTGTCACTCTTCCAGCCAAAGGAGGACGGAGAGGAAAGGGACTTCCTTGCCCCGGGGGCAGGCTTCTTAAATAGCAGTTGAGACTGTTCCTCTGAGCCTGGCTGCAGACGAGGTATCATCAATTCCAGAGTTTGTCCATAGCCGGGCCAATGGTGTGCAGGGATGTTTGTAACCCAACTTGAGGGCATAGCCTGCCTTTCCATAAACAGTCTGGTGACCTGGTTGAGATTCTTCAAGATAGACCATGCACATTTGTGTCACCGATCTTGTCAGGCCTGCTCTTGTGTGTGTGTTTGTGTGTCCCCCAATGACTTGGTCACTACCGTGCAGTGGAGCCCTTGCCCCATCATGGATGTGAGAAGTTCCCTCTACATGGTTTGGCCCCTACACGGCTTGTCCCCCTTCTCTCTGAAATCAATGGAGAGGCCAGCTCTGGGACACCTGGGCACCTATCACTGAGGAGGTCTTCAGATCAACCACTCGTCTGCTTTTGTACAGTCAGAGCTATAACATTTCTGTTTGGAGTTTTGTAACTGTAGTGTTTAGGTACTGTTGTGTTTGTACCTTATTGTGTAGACTGGAAGGATTTTATTGAATAAACTAGGATTAGAATGCATCACCACTTGTTGCTGGTCTCACTTCCTATCCCTTAGTTAACTTACCTTAAGAGGGCTGAAAGTTCAATTTTGGGTTCCTTTCCAAGTTCACATCCCTAGAAATTCATGTGGGGGCCAGTAGTTAAGTGTGATTTGTTTGGTTTTTTGTTATTTTGTACTGTCATATTGGATCCGAATGGCATACAAGATTGCCCCTCCTCCTCCAGAGAAGCATCTGGTGGATTCAGACCGCACACTTTCAGGATTACAGCACAGCTTCTTGCCACTAGGCCACCAGAGCTCCCTCATAAGGTGTAGTTTGAATGTGAGTTCCTCTTTGTGTGCAGGACACCCGTGACAAGCTGTGTTGGGTCCATCTCGTCAACTCCACCTCAGTGGCCTGAGTAAATACTACCCAGTCCTGCTGCAGTTACTGCATCAGTATGTCCCAACTTCTCTCTACTTCACATAGTGTCCTTCCCTAAGGATGGCATGGGATGGGACAGGCCCCTCCTAAGAATATGTCCCAAAGTATGTGAGAGAGACTCATTGTTCCTTCTAAGGGTCACTGTAACTGCCTTTCTTCTGAAGATATTTCTTTGTTCTTTTGGCAGACCATGCTTGCTTCCCTTATTTATTGTCCATCTTTTGCAAGTATACAAGGCAGTCAACTATAACACACTGTAGTCCTCAGTGACTTCCTTTTTTGCTGTGGATTTACATTATGACTGCAGCAGTGGGCTCGGATATGTTAGACAGGCCAGGATACAGATCTCTGTTGTTCACAGAGTCAAGCTCAAGTTGACGGCACCTAGCAAATCATTTGCACACAAGATTGTCCATCTTCTGTGGAGCATGGCTGGCAGATTTGAACCATGTAATTTTGAATTGCCAGTACAACTCTTTACCACTAGAGTTTCATTGCTCTTTAGCATTTTATAAAAAGGGCCCTGGTTGAGAAACATTCTCAAACCAACACAGTCTTTTTCTACCCCTCTACCTCTGGAGAAATTACTTGTCTCACTCTGGGAAATACCTTTTCCTAATCTAGCTTTTATTTCACTTTTGGAAAAAAATAAAACCCATTGTTCTTCTAATCTGTTCCCACTACCAACAACCCTATTGTTAAATAGCCTCCAGTTGGAAGAGACTAGGCTGACTCTGCAGCAGAACTTCAGAGGAGATTGCTGGTATTTCTCCTATGGAGTAGCTGGTGATTTAGATCTGTGTACCTTTGGATTGGCAGCACAATTGCTTTCAACAAAGCCTGACAACCCCATGGGAGCTCTGATGGCCTAGTAGCAAGGAGTTGCAAAGTAATCCTAAAGGAACATGGTTCAAGGCCACCAGATGCTCCTCAGAAGGATGAGCAATCTCCTGTGGCAATAACAGCCTCTAAAAATACCTCGGAGGGTCAGCTATCAGGCTGTTCCAACTGTATGGTACAAAACAACAACCCCATAGGGCAGAATAAAAGTAGGATTTTGAAACTAAATTTAAGTGGAGTGGCCTGGTGGGTCCGGATGATAAACTTCTGGAGTAGAGTTTAGAGCTTTAGCTGTTGTGCCAGTCGTCTTTAAAATAAACTGCGATCAACTAGGTTCTAACAATAGCTAAGGGAGGTCATGTTCTAATCCCACACAGTCGTGTGCACTCCGGCCACAACAACCCTGCCTGGGTAGTGGGTCTCCCCTAATAAACTCCTTGCTCCTAGATCCAAGTCCCCTTTTACCACTTTAACCACTGAGACTCTGGGAAATCCCGTGATTGACAGTACAAGCACCCCCAGTGCCGAACTGTTCTAAAGTCCTATTACAGGGTCTCTGCAGAGGGGCGGGCCTCCAGACCTGGTTGGCCTGAGGATCCCTGCTACCTCGTCCCTGCGGGGCGTGCCCGGGGCGTGCCGGGAACACCCCCGCCTGGGCGGGGCCCTAAGTCGTGTACACCCCCGTCTAGGCGGGAGGGGGGTAGGACCACCCCCGTCCGGGCGGGGCTGGGCCTGAAACACCCTCGTCTGGGCGGGAGTGGGGCAGGCCCACCCCAGGCCGGGAACACTTCTGTCTGGGCGGGAGGAGGTGGCGACCTCGGCTCCCAGTCAAGATGGCGCTGGTGGCTAGAGCGCGCACGCTGCTCACGGGTTCGTGGCCTCCGGCCAGGGCGCCAAGAGCAGCGGGACCAGGGCGAAGACAATGCTCCAGGGGTGGGAGGGGGGAGGGACGCATCCCAGGATGGGAGTGTGTGACTGGGCCGGGGGAGCCAGGAGACTGGGCTGAAGGCAGCAGGGACATGGTGCACAAGGGGGTTTCGGGGGCAAAAGGCAGCGGGACGGGGCTGTGGGGCCTGCGGGGTCTCGGGAATAGGGCCGCCGGGGCAGGGGCAGCGGGGATAGAGGACATGGGAGGATGGGAGGGTACCAACGAGTTTTGCTGTCCGCAGGGGTCCGGCTTGGGGGCGCGCCCCCCAGAAGGGCAGCCATCGCTGGCGAGGCGGGCGCGAGGCGCACCCTGAGCCAGCAGGTGCTGGTGGAGACGGACACAGCGACAGGTAAGGGACACCGTGTACGGGAACAGCTTCCAAGCAGAAGAGACGACATGGTTCAAGGCTCTTGTCGCCCTGCAAAGGAAGGTGAAAGTCACTCTCCCCGCGACCTGGCCCTGAGGGGCACCTTGTCCTCGGTGGCGGCATGTCCAGAGCCTGGTCCACTTAGTCCTAGGTCTAGTTTACCAAAAGCTCCCAGAATTAAGACAACGTAGCTTTTCTCGGCAGATAACTGTTCATGGGGAAGTTTTCCCTTCTATTCCATTATGGAGATAAAACTATAAAGAAGAATATGTTTTTATGAAGGTTACAGAATAGAACTTCTCAAACTTTTTCATATTCCTTTATGAAAATAGCAACTAATTGGCCCTATTTTGGATTAATTGCACTTTGGTGGTGCAGTGGCTAAAGTGCCCAGCTGCCACTTGAAAGTTTAGTGGTTCAAAACCACTAGCTGCTCAGAGGAAAACTGATGAGGCAGTGTGCTTCCATAAAAATTACAATTTTGGCTTTTTTCACAATGGGTTTGTTGCCAGAATACAAGTGTTGGTAAATACCATCCAAAAACCTAAACCAAAATGGGAAAGGAGAAGACCCCTATCAACACAGTCGTCATTGGATTTGTCCACCACTACTCCTGGTCCAAGTATAAGTTTTTCATGAGCACAATTAAGTGAACTGGCTTTCCTGTTTTCAAGATTACCCGCAATTTATTGTGACCCACAGAGTCAAGTGACTTTGCATAGTCAATGAAACACAGACATTCCTCTGGTACTCTGGTATCAGCTAAAATCCATCTAATTTTTACTATAATGTCTTTAGTGCCACAGCTTCTTCTAAACCCAGCTTGCACATCTGGCAATTCTCTGTCAATGCACTTTTTCAATCCTTTTTTTTTAAATAATCTTCAGCAGGATCTTGCTTGAGAGACTAGTTCGATAATTTCCACTCTCTGTTGAATCACATTTTTTTTGGAATGGGGATGAATGTGGATCTCTTCCAGTCAGATGGCCAGGTAGTTGATCTCCAGATTTCTTAGCACAACTGGTGAGCATGTCCAGGGCTGCATTTGTGTGTTGCAAGTATGTCATTTAATCAATTCCTGGGGCCTTGTTTTTTGCTAATTACTTCAGAGCAGCTTGAACTTCCTCTTTCATCACCATTGCCTGTTGGTCATATGTTATTTCATTAAATTCTTCTGTGTCAGCCAATTCTTTTTGGTACAGTGAATCTTTATACTCCTTCCATCTTCTTTTTTTAATACTTGCTTCTCCCCATCTCCCTTGTTAAGTTTGGTTGAATCGGATCTGACTGGTAAAAGAGGAAATTGACCCTCCTTCTGCAGCAGAGCATCTGGTGAATTTGGCCATGCCTTCAGGATTGCAACGCAGCATAGGGCCACTGTTGTAAAATGGGACTGACATCAGTGTTGAGGAAGGCAGAGAAGGAGGGGAGAAATGATGTATCCTGCATTGAAACAGATAAGGGAGAGAACTGTTTAAAAGGGATATATGAATGGGTGTTATTGTCATTACAGGAGTCCAGAATGAGGGCTGCACAGTGGAGAGATTGCATAACAATGAAAGAGTTTTACTTTTCAAGGAGAAGAGAATTTGCGGGGAGGACTGGGCAGGGAGAAAAGTGCAACAGTGAATGAATGGAAACCCTAAGTCTCTGTAAACTTTCATTAAAATTAATTAAAAAAGAAAAAGCAAAAAAAAGAAATGCTGAGAAAGTTCATGCCTTTTGATTTTACGACTCCAGTTCTTTGTACATTTCATTGTAATACTTTGCTTTGTCTTCCCAAGTTTCCCTTTGAAATCATCTGTTCAACTCCTAACTTCTTGATTTCTTTCCCCTCTGTCTTTGCAGTGACTTCTTGCATTCTTTTTTGAATGATATTCTTGATATCCTCTCATAGCTCATCAGGC